AAAAAAAAAAAAAAAGAAAAGAAACAAGATGAATTGACACAGTGGCTGCAATGATGGGCTCAGGTATAGCAAGGATTGTAAGGATGGTGCAGGACCAGGCAGTGTTTCGTTCTGTTGTACACAGGGTCGCTATGAGTTGGAGTCAACTTGATAGCACCTAACAACAACAAGAAGTAATTTGAAAATTACAGGACTATCAGGAGACTTTCATACTTCCTATTTTCTTGTCTTAGTTAACTAGTGCTGCTGTAACAGAAATAGCACAAGTGGATAGGTATTCTCTCACAGTTCAGGAAGCTAGAAGTCCAAGTTCAGAGTGCCAGCTCTAGGAGAAGGCTTTCTCTGTCCCATGGACCTAGGAGGATCCCAGCGCAGGAGCCCTGAGTCCAAAGAACATGCTCTGCTCCTAGCTTCTCTTTATTAGTGGTAGTGGGTCCCCCTCTCTGCTCCCTTCTCTCTCCTTTTATCTCTTATAAAAAGTGTTACATCCCACACCCCAGGGAAACCCCTTTATATGGAATAATGGCTGTGATGGGACCAAGGGTATTGGTTCCTGATTTCCTCTCAGTATTACACTGAGTAAATCGGCTGTAAAACACCTTTTGAAAGTGTTAAAGAGCAACGATATGACCTTTAAGACTAAGGTGCGCTTAACCCAAGCCATGGTATTTTCAATTGCCTCATATCATGTGAAAGCTAGGCAATGAATAAAGAAGATGCAAGAAGAATTGATGCCTTTGAATTGTAGTATTAGTGAAGAATACTGAAAATACCATGGACTGCCAGAAAAATGAACAAATCTGTCCTAAAGAAGTGCAGCCAGAATGCTCCTTAGAAATGAGAATGGCCAGACTTTGTCTCACCTTCTTTGGTGATGTTGTCAGAAGGGATTAGTCCCTGGAGAAGGATATGCTTGGTAAAGTAGAAGATCAGTGAATAAAGAAAATTATTTCCTGAATCGATCACTTGATAAGGATTTAAAATAATGGACAACTCAATTACCAAAGTACCCAAAGCATCCAAATTGTGGTCTCTAAATACCATTTTCAATTTAAAGGAACCAAGGCTTAATGGAGAAATGGCTCATTCCAAGATCTGGAGCATGATATATATAGAATAAACCTGGCAAAAAGTGTTATACTAGAAAGAATACTAGAAAGAAAGAATGTTATCAAAGGCTGCTGCAGGCTAGTCCTGTCAAAATGACACATGACTAACTTCAAGGAAGTTCTACCAGCCAAGATGGGACAACCTGAACACAATCAACCAATCAATCAACCAATCAACCAATCAATGCATTGACTTAAAAGATACTATTTTTTAAAAAAGAACAAGAGTGCTCACTAGTCTCCTTTGGGAAATATTATGGAACCAACTCATTATTCTGAAAACTGGTAAGTAAAGGAATCAAGTATTAATCTTGCCTTTCCTTAGTTGAGGAAGTGCTTTTTAGAGAAGCTAATAAGTAAAGAAGAAATGATAGAATAGTGCAATTGTAATCCATATGGAAGTAACAGATCTAGGTAATAATTACTTATGGGTTGATAAAAGCATTAGGAGAAAAACTAACTTGGAACCCAAAAAGAAATGGATCAGGCTTCCAGTCCCTGAACCCACTAATCAGATCTCAACATCACTAAAACAGAGACAACTAGACACTGTCTCCTGGTATAATAAAATGGAAAGCACACAACCCATCTCTGAAGTATTCCTGCCAAATAAAACAAAAGGAGAATCTGATCAAGCCTCTTGATCTAATTATCCATTTACAGGAAATACAGAGGAAAGAATATGTTACCACCACAGAGCAGCAATCAGCAAAATCTGGAATATGAGAATTTCTACATGAGAAATTACTTCATTTTTTTCAATGACAATAAAAACAACAAAACTGTAAGAAAATAAAAGACTCTAGGGAATCTATAAAAATAGAGGCTTAAGAAGTACAGCTACCAAATACAGTGTGTGAACCCTGTCTGGAACCTGAAACAAACCAATTGTTAAAAAAGAGAGAGAGAGAGACATACAATAAGAAAATTATGGTTAATTTAAGAGGGGGAAAAAAGACTCCTAGTCTCTTTGAAATATGTATTGATATATTTACAAATAAAATATTCCTCAGGTTTACTTTAAAATAACCCAGGGGGGAGGGAAGGGAGGTGGAGAGGCTATAGCTGAAACAAGGTTGACCATATGTTGCTATTTATTGAAGCTAAAGCTGGGTGGTAAGCACCTAGGTGTTTATTATATGATTCTCTCTACTTTTGTGCAGGTTTAATATTTTCCATAGGAGCTCTGGTAGCATAGTGCCTAAGACACTTGACTGCTAACCAGAAGGATGGCAGTTCAAACCCACCAGCCACTCCTCAGAAGGAAGGTTGGACAATCTACTTCTGTAGTGATACCCCCTCGGAAACCCAAGGAGGGGTTGCTATGAGTCAGGGCCAACTCAACAGCACATAACAACAACACTGTCCACAATAATAAAAAGGAAAAAAGAAAATTCTGGGTGATTTTATGTTAAGCAATCTAGATCTACATCTGTACTGATTACAGAATCTTTTCTTTTTTGCCCCTTACAAAATATACTGCTAAAACATGGGCCCCATTCATCCTTTGGCTATGCTAAGGATGCCCATGTAAGCCCCAGTGGTGATAAAATAGTAGATGAGATCCAGACAAGGTCATGCTAGTAGACTTTAGAAAAGAAATGTGTACAACTTTTTGAACTCTAGAAGATACAATATATATATATATTTTCTTTTAAATTTTTTTTTAATTGTGATTTGGGTGAAAGTTTACAGAGCAAATTCACTTTCCATACAGCAGTTCACACACACGTTGTCTCATGACACGACTACAATTTATCCCAATGGAACAGCTTCCCTCCCAGTTCCTCCTGATAGGTACCTCTTCCCTGTTCATTCCTCCATGCACTCCTGCCCCCTGAATTGTCTCCCTGTGCATAAACAGCCCCCTTTTCTCCCATGATTGTTCTCTCCAAGAAGTGTATCTACCTCAGGTACATGTTCAACTCATATGCCTATCTTTGTCTGGCTTGAAGCCACAGGTATGGGTTCAATTCCAGACCTGAAGGGCAGCTAGGGAGCATAGTCTCAGTGGTTCTACCAGGCTCTATCAGACCAGCAAACCTGGTCCTCCCTCTCCCCGCCAAATGATTTTGAGTTTTGTTCCACACTGTTCTCCCACTCTATCCAGGATCTCCTACATAGATCCCCCTCCAAGTGGTTGACAGTGGTAGCCAGGCACCATCTAGTTCTTCTGGTCATAGTCATATAGGCTGAGGATCTCATGGTGTACCAGTCATGAGAACTGTGGTTTCCATGAATCTTTGGTTTTCTTCATTCTTCTTTGCTCTGGACAAGGAGAGACCAGTCATTGCATCTAGATGGCTGCTTGCAAGCTTTTAAGATCCCAGTCGCTACTTACCAAAGTAGGAGGTGGAACAATGTTTTGTGTAGTATTTTATGCCAACTGAGCTTGATGTCCCCTGTGACTATGGTCCTGAGCCCACAGGTTCAACTACTCAGTCCCTCTGGGTAGCTGGCTGTGACCAAGAAGTAACTACAACCCTGTCCCTTGTCAGCTCTACTATACCCCTGGGAATTCTTACAAAACATACAAATACACTTGTAAAACCATTGTCTGCCAACCCTATACATGGCCTTGTGTAAATTCCCTGTTGCACAGACATATCTAGTAGTTTAGCCTGTTCTCCCATCTATCCACCCGTATACCATGTTTGCCTTCACTGACAATGCAGTACTGTATGTGCAAAAGGGTTCAATCTTTGTTGTCTACATTTCCCATGTACCTTTCTCTGTCTTCGTCTTCCTCAGTCCCAACATACTGATCACCCACATTTGGTGCACTGCCCCTCTCTTCACCCAAATCAATACTTATCTCTACCTACAGAAGATACAATATTTTAAGATTCATTTTAATGATAGTTAGAATTTCTTCAACAGAGGTAGGGCTGGTTGTTCCTGTAAAAAAAAATTATTTTTTATTTTATTTTCTGTTGTTCTGGTAAATTTTTAAGGCAGATATTAATACTTGAATCACCATGAAGAAGAGGAAGTTAAGATACATTTTCAAGGTAACCTACCTGCAACTGCATGACCACATAGTTGAATCGATCATTCCTCCCACAGCCAATAAATCTACAAACATGGTCTTTCCCTGGATAAAAAAAAAAAAAGAAAGAAAGAAGAGTGGGAAAGATGATACTATTGAAAGCTGAAAAAAAGACCTCCTTGCTGATAACTGAAAAGTTTCAATTTGATTGAAACAAGCACTAACCATAATGATTAACTTGCTGTTTTCTTTTCCTTCCTCCTTCACCTTACTAAATAGAATACCTGACTTTTTCATGGACAGTGATTTCTTTAGGTTTGTTTTATGCTTATATTTTCTTTTGAGTATGACCTTATCCCATGGCCTGCTCAGCCAATAACCTGGTTTATGAAGCCAAGACAACCCTGGGAAAAGAGATGCCAAGTCTAGTGAAACCACGGTAAAGAGGAACAAAGACATTCCTGATGGTCCAAAAGATCCCCAACTCCCTATGAAAACCAAACTCACTCATGGTTCCGACTCACAGACACCCCTCCTTGGGTTTCCGAGATAGTATCACAAGTCCCTATATAACTATGTTTATCCCTTTGCACAGAGAGACAGATTTTGGAGAAGTAATTCTGTCTCCTTGGGTGTCAACACTCAATAAATCTTTTGCTTTTTCACTTCAACTTGTTGTGATTATTGGATCTCCTCACTACAGGTGTTAAGAATCTCTTTTTCCTGCAGCAATACAATGGTTGCTCTTCTGAAGAATCAGCAATTTATTTTTCTATATAGTATTTTATGATCGAATATTAATGGCCTGTCTTGACAACCTTAAGGATAGGAAATTTGAATTATTCAAAATTCTGCCCATCTCCTCCAGAAACTATGTTTCTTGCATAGTTGCCTGTTGAATGAATAAACAAATGAATAAATGAGTAAGGGAATAAATTAATGGTAACTTATTTATGCAGAAAAGGATTAAGAGGTCATTTCAGATCACCCTGCCCTGACACTATACATATGAAAACAATGAAAGAGCAATAAATAAGAACTATGTTGTTGTTGTTGTGTGCCGTCGAGTCGGACCCGACCCATAGCGACCCCTCCTTGGGTTTCCGAGGCAGTATCACTACGGAAGTAGATTGCCCCAT